CTCATCTTCCTTGCAATTTGGTATCGGAGCTGTGGTACAATTTGCGCTCATCTGGCGCTTGTCTTCTGCCTTATGCGGTACATACATGCGGCCTGCTTGGCGAGTTTGGCCATAAGTGGTGTGTAGTGAGGAGACGAGTAGTGGCGACCCAGGAGGTGAGGGGATCGCCAGGAAGGCTACGTGGTGTAATGTGGGTCTGGACAGTGTGATGAGAACTATCTAATGTGCCATGGTGATGAGGTGGAACGGCGTGCAATGCTGGTTGTGCCAAAGCAATGACTGGTCATCACAATCGGCATCAGGTCATCTGGTGAGATTATCTTTGTGGTTGGGGGCAGCTATTTGAGGTACGTTGCTCTTAACCTTATCGACCCTCTTCGACACTTCTTACCGTGAGGTTGTGTGTTCCTTCTTGAGAGTCCTCTCATTGTGAGGTGTCGAGTGCGCTCAACCTTGAGAGTCGGCAATGTTCACGTGGAGCATCTGGGAGAAGATGGGCGGATATTTCTGAAGGGCCCTGAACGAAGCACTGGGTCACGGTCACCATGCCAACCCACCGGGAGTAGAGCACGCATGCTTTGCTGCTTGTCCTTTGTTCAGCTCGCTGCGCTGTTAGTTGGGTACTGAAGGGCAGGCCAGCCCTAAGAGGGAGACGAGGCCAGGTGTCTTTAAATAAGCACCGGAAGGGGGAATCATTGGCTGTGATCGTCGTCCAGCTGCGACGTAAAATAATTCCTAATGACACTTGGGGGCGGTCGTTAAATTGCCTCGGCATCAGCCAATGATTGTAAGGCTTGCTGCACGCGAGGATGATCCAGTGCAGGGCTGGCCAGCTCAGCAGATACTCGGGGCACAGGGGTGGGCCGAACACACACCTTTTAGACACGCAACGCTCTCCGGATTGCTCAGGGATGCTGACGTCAAGTGACATTCAGGGGAACTAAGGGAGAGGTAGATTTCAGGTGATTAGTTCGAGAAAAAAAAATCCAGACTGTCCTATCCACACAAATGATTCTATTTTTATGTTTTGATGAGTTAGATGTACAATTGACATCTGACAGATAACATTAGTTAGAACTG